GGCAGCGGCAGGACAGTATCTGTCAGTATTTTAAAGGGTAAGATTGCCGGGTACAGGATAGGTTGTCCTGAAACAAGTTTACCTTCTTACAGCCTGGACTGACTCCAGAATAATAGTTTCCCTTTGACATAATCATTTTTGTTGTTGGGAAGATTTCCTTAACTAAGATGCTTTTTAGCAGTGCCAGGACTGGCTGTATCCCACAAAATTCTGCCTGGAGTAACCAATCCTTTTGCGGGCAAGTGTTTTTTAGACAACGGTGACAGCCATACAGTAGTAAACTATCTGTACCAGAGGGCAGGCTAGCTGTAGCATACAAGAACTCATTAGAGATTTTAATTTCTGCAGCTGAAGAGATTCCCCCGAGAAAAGTTATCTCTCTTAGTTCCCGAACTGGCTTTATCACTCAACACCTTGATTTGGGCTACTTATTCTGGTGCTGACTAGATATTCCCTACAATGATTTCCGTGTCACCACCAGAACAAGCTCTGGGAAGGACTGCTAGGTACATTTTACAAACCTAAATCATCTCTTGAATTACCGAAAAGGCCCAGAATCACTGGATAGTGGTTGCTTAGAGCGGGCATTACCCTTATGTCTAGCGCTTCGATAGTATTCCGTGTCGGCCGCTAGACGGAAGAAAGAAAATCTAACAAGCGGCTGTCTAAAATCGAGATCAGTACTTCGCAAGCTGCAGCAACACGTTGACAAGTCCTTCATATTGGTCTATTTCACAATAGTACCCCACCAGTCCGGACAGAAGTTTCTCATAAAAGAACCAATTCCACTTTATGTCATCAGGTAACCTAAGAAAATATGGATTGCGAAATCCGCATTACCCAATTTTCATGTAAAGTTCACGACTACACAGAAATAAAATCCAATATTTCCGAGTCCCACAAATTAGGACGTGCGCCTAGCGAATATGGCTCTAAATAAAAACATTAAATAACTGTACCGACTAGTTAAAGGAAAGTAGTACATAACACCTACATAAACTTTCTTCATGGCGAGTCTGATTTGCCTTACAGAAACATGCATCAATGGTCATGAGTAGAAAACCCCACTCGATTTGCTAGTAAAACCTGCTCATTTCGCAAAATTAAACACCCACACATTTCACAATAAAATAGCATCAGCATCCATTTACTTCAACGACATTGCGTGAAGGTCAATTGCCTAAGAGAAGGTGATGCCTTTTGCTCCGAAATTAATTCTATGTGCCTTTCCGCGATCTCATTACTCGCTTAACTACTCATATCTCTCTATGTCTCTTAATGCGGTAAACTTAATTCAGGCTAGAATGAAAATTTATAGCGCATTACTCGCGCATCCAGTGCCTTATTTTGTGCCGACTTTTAATGCATTGTTGGATACCGTCGCCTCTTGCCGAGCACTCTCTACTCCGCACAACGAGAATGCAAGCACAACATGCCGGAGGCGCATTTACGAGCCTTACGCCTTAGCTAATGAGACAAATTTTTGATGGGGGACGTCGCGCGGCATTTGCAAGTTTTCTTCCTGCGCCAGCGAGTGGTGTCCTTCTGCTTACTGCAGCTGCTGTCGTCGTTGGCTTGTGAAAACAAGTTTAGATGATTATTGCCACCATCAAAGGCGCTAGTGAAATAAACGCAACATTACTTTCGACCAGATGGCCAACTCCACTCCAATCCATGCAACATCTTTGTGGGTTACTGTGTGCTGGAGATGAGGATTTTCGGTAAACAACGAAAATCTGATTTATACGCGACAGCAATAAAACTGACAGCAGCAGGCAAAGTGTTGCTCACAACCATACATCCTGTTTCACTGGCACTCTGCACGTCGCCGGTGGATGGTTGGCGTGAGTGAGCGTTCGTTGCCTCTACTATCTCGGGATAAAAGTCCTGAAGTGGCATCGGCGGCAGCTGGCGGGTGTACAAGTGGAGGATCGTAATAAAATGCGCTGGCGCATCTGCAGCTGCTCGCAATGCGAAATGTTAGTTGCACATAATTTTGCAACAATATTTGCATTGTGATCACCCCCCCCGTTGCTCAGCTATTTGATGGCATCTGTTCTGTTGTTGTTTTTAATGTTGCTGTTTGCATTGTTGCCATGCAACAGTACTTGTTGTTGCTGTTGTTGTTGTTGTTGTTGTAATATTCATTGTCGGTTGACTGTTGCGGAATGGCGCACAAAAGTTATGCTGCTAATCTTGTAAGTTGCACAGTGGTGTAGGAATGGATAATTTTTATGGAATTTTTTCTATGGCGTAGCGCCCAAAGACCAACAGAAAAATTAAAGGAAAGCTACGTTCAGTCAAGTACTTCAATTTTGCCCATCTCCTGTCATTCTCAGAATTGTCGAAACAAAGAAACGTTGCTGATTCTGTGAGAATATTCCACTTCAAGGTCCTGGCCTAATGTAAATGAGCCTACAATGACCCGTCAAAATACCTGTTGTGATTCTTAGCCTCTCCTTGGGGAGGTTTATAAGTAGCCTGTATCTCTTTGGATTGTATCCCCCTAATAGTCTCTTCGCTTGACGAAGTACGGAGATGCTTCGCCAATGTAGTTCCCTCAGTTTGTTATTTTCCTTCCTGAGTGCCTCCTTTATCGTGCTGGGACCCACCGCAAGGAAAGGCTCCGGTCCTCTGGGGGTCGAGGCAGCCGCCAGCCTGGCCAGCTGATCGGCTACTTCGTTTCCCTCGACACCCATGTGCACTGGTACCCATGTTAGCTGGATTGTGTTGTGCACAGCAAGGGCATTAAGCTTTTCGATGCAATCCAAGGCAAAAGAGAATTTGACCTCGAAGGATGTGAGAGCCATAAATGCCGGCTGACTGTCGCTTAGTATAAGTATCCATTCCCTTCGATAATTTCTGCGAAGGTTAATCTCTGCGCATAGACTGATTAGATAGTCCCGCTTGGAAGATGCTTGGGAAAGTCCCCAAGGGGACTAAAATATTCAGCCTGGGACCGTATACTCATGCTCCAATACTCTCAGGGGTCCTAGAGCCGTCCGTGTACCACTGTAGAGTGCTCTCCTGGACCTGTCCTTCTAAGATAGACGTGCTCCAAGACACCTTTCTGTATATATTGACTATTTATGAAGTTTCTTGCAAATACCATTCCGTGCATATCATCCCTGGTGCACAGCACTAATGGGAACCTAGCTTGTCCCTGTTCCTGGATGATAGCACTTTACCTTTACCAAAACCCTCTCTCGAAAAGTTTAAGAGCGTTCGTTTTGTCAGCTGTTCAATCATAATATGTAGTGGCTCCAGTTCAACTATTATTTCCACCAGCGCTGCCGTCGGACATGTGCGCATAGCCCCGCGATGCAAACACACGCCAGACGTCGAAACTTGGCAAGGGACTGTCTTGCCGTCGCCAATGGATGCAGAGGTACCTCCTTCAGAGTGTTAGACCTGATTTCATGGTCGATAATGTTCTTCATTGCCTTCAGCATAAAGGAGGTTAGACTTATCGGACTTATTGACTTAGTTAGGCAGTAATCCCTCCTATCTTCGGGAATGTGGGCCAGCGCTAGACTGTCCCTCATTATGTCGACAAGGTGTAGAAGTAGGAGCTCTTCACCCTGCTTCAACAGAACTGGACTCATGCAATCCACCCCGGGGGCTTTGTACCGTTGAAAAGAATCCAATGCCCATCGTACTGATTGTTGGGTTATTAGGCCTTTGGCCAGCTTCCAGTCCGATGGGAATGGCCCGACTACGCGGAACACCGCATCCCGGGTTGACGGAATGACATCAGGGAATTGGGAAGCTAGCAGAGTGAGTGCTCTTTCCTTTTCGTTACCTGAATAAGTGCCGTCTGGTAGCCTAATGGCTAGCCTGGTTCCTGCAATCTAGCAATCTAGCAATCTAGCAGCCGCAGGGGTAGATGAGATGCTCTCACAGAAGCACCTGAAGCTGCTACGCTTCACTTTTCTAATCGCCTTACTGTATGTTGTTAGGCTCGCTGAATACTCAAGCCAGTTTCCCGTGCGCTTTGCTCGATTGAAGAGTCTGCGCATCTCCTTCCTGAGTACTGAGAGCTCCCCTTTGGCTTAGACACGGCACAGCTAGAGTTACATATATGGAAGTATCAGCTTTATGCTTGAGTAAACTTTCATAGCCAGGTGGTCTGTGATACGAAACCTTCTTAATTAAGCCTTTGTTTGTAAATTTTTTTTAGGAAATATGCCGTCATAAATATTTGTTTATCTGCAGTTGCGGCTAAATGTAAACACTGTGCGAATGTTGTTCTTTTGGCTTTGCTACTTAGGTGGATTAAAAGAATTTATGTTTTCCATATTTATCACTGTTGGTTATAGGATTATTTATTATTTACTGTAGTGACAAAATTCACTTAAGTACTCACAAAGTTGGGTAAAAGTTTTCGCTTCGAAATTTTGAGCGTAAATTTAATTTGATACTTAATTTAAAGCGGCATTATTAAAATTTTAAATTACTGCCGCTTCCACGCCACACTCCTTTCCTTCTGTGCTACGCGCAATTACAAAGCTTTTTGCGCGAGTAAGTACAAACTAATCGAAGAGTATTTACCTCAAACATTTTTATTACACTACACTCGGCTACAGCAAATTTCCGCTAACAATTGTCAATGCAGACAAAAGCGCGAGACAAGTAAAATACTTAACGCCAGTTCACTCGACTTGACTGATTCTCAAGATTACAATTTCCGCTTACAATGTGCGTCAATATTTAAGAAGAAATTAAGAGTACACAAAAAATCTCAATAAAACGCAAAAGGGTGGAGAAAAAGTAGGAAAGCGAATGCAAAAAAAAAAAAAAAAAAAATATATCACCTTTTAACAAAGCTAACAAAAGGTAAATACCGGCACATGAATAATGAAAAGCGTGTGCAAATTTGTGCATCAAATCACTCAGAAGTGTAGCAGAAGGCAGCTGCTCCAAGCACTACTACATCCTTTCGCAGGATGAGGGCGTTTCAGGTGAAAGCAAAGAAACGTAGCGAAAATGAGCGCACTTACCTTCAAACTTTTCATACGCAGCGAAGCTTAACTTCTCCGGCACATAAGATAAACGCCGACAGCCGCTGATGTACTCCAAATGCCCGGCCATGCCTGCGGCGCTCGAACTTCCGTTGGCGCTGGCGCTAATAGTGTTGGCCGCTGTCGCTGCTGCCTTCTCAGCCGTAAATGTAGCAACTTTTTTGAGTACATTGTTGCTAAGCGTCGTTGTCGGTGTGGCAGGGGTGGCCGGAGTCACAGGAGTGGCCGGAGTGCCAGGAATGCCGGCGATGGCTGGTGTTGACGGTGTTGCCGTCACAGCGGCTGTGGCGGCCGATTCCGAGTATACACCAGCGGTGGTGGTAGGCGTTGATGCAGCAACTTCCGATGCTGCAATTGTTGGTGTTGTTGTGGTTGGCGTAACCAAACCAGTGGCATCCCGTTTCGATCTTGCCACTGGCGGAGGTGTGGCGGGATGTGGTGCGGGCGTTTGGTGTTGAGACTGAACAGGTGTTTGTGATGATTTAAACGAAATTATAACGGTTGATTGAGTTTCTGTCGGAGGCGGCTGCGGCGGCGGCGGCGGCGGCAACTGTTTGTTGTTCAAGTTGCTGGCATCTGGCGAAGGCGACAACGAAGGCGGCACGGAATATACGCATGAAAGAAACAAGAAAAAAGGGGAAAAAATATATTTTGTTACATCTCATCTGGGTTTTTTTTTTTTCTTTTGCTTTGTTCGAAGAAAATGAGTCAAACTTATTTTCTTGCAATTGTTTGTGCAGCCTACTTTGGTAGGCGGTGATGAGCCGGAAAAAAGGAAATTAAAAGAAAAAAGGAAATCCGCATAAAGTAATAAAATGAAGAGAAATGAAGGAAAAGGTCGAACGCAGTGAGCCTTACCAATAAACCCAATAAAAGGATAATAAAATAAATAACCTCGAAAACACGGCTCGCCCAAGTGCGTGTTGGAATTTCTTGCTTGCTGCCTGAGCTTTGAATAAATTTTTTTTGCAGCCACACACACACACTTTTCACGCTAAAAGCTTGCTTAGTTACCGGCTACACACCCTAACCAGCACACCCACAAAGCTTGCGTGCGTCCCATTTTGTGGCCTTTGGTGTTAAAAACTTTTGGGTTTCTGTTTACGTTTTATATTTTATGATTTCTTTTTTTTTTTTTAATTTTCATGTACATATATAATTTTCATCATTAAGTTTCTTAAATTGCTGGCCATATGTATTTAACATAAAATCCCATAACAATTTTCCATAAGGACAGCTGTATATCGGGCGCTTTTACTTTTACTACAACCAGCTGAATATCTTAAGCGACTTTTTTATTTGCCTAGAAGAAGCAGCTTCCGTTTGTCTGATGGCCCGTTCGCAACTTGATTTAATTAAAAGTAAAAATGACGCGCCGAAGTTAAAGGAATAAAATATTACCTCAATATGGATACTTAAATGTAAGTATGTATGTGTGAGCTTCCTTTTACCCATTTCCAAACACTTTTTAAGGTCAATAAATGAGTAAAGAATTCGGGTAAAAATTCTTGTAATAATATCTTACGCAGCGATGTATAAAAAAGTTTTTTTTTTAAGAATGGGCATGAAGACATTGAAAAGGATCATTAAAATTTTGTTGTGTTTTCATTGGTTAAAGTTTTTACAACTTTGAATACATATTTAGAAAGTGAACTTTTGTTTTCAAAACGCAGTTTGAAAATACAAAGGTGAAAATCAATTAAGTACAGTGAATCAATAAAGTTTAGGTACAGAGAGTTTTTGCAATACGGGCAACTGTTTATTAAATATTTTATTTTTTGTTAATTTTTTTTTTACAAAAATAAAGTTAATTCTACAGCAAAAACTCCAAAAATCAGAGTTCCAAACCTTGTGCAAAATTAAAAAAATTTTCATTCAATTATTGCACTTTTTATTTAGACTTTTTAGAAAAAAATTTGAGTATGCAATGAATGAGCAAAAAAAAAATTCGCCAAAAATAAAATATTTAAAAAATAGTTCCCGTATTGCAAAAAATTCGCTGCACCTAAACCTTATTGACTGACTGTACATATACACATACATTTGTAAATAAATACGAGTGTGAACCGCTCACAAATTATTTGAAAATTAATAATTATTTTCATAATGGAATACCGATGCAAATCGATATTGGGCTCAAGTTTGAATTCAATTATTAAGTATTTCTCTTATTTTTTAAGTCTGGCCGACTAGAGTTCAACAAATTTCTTCCGCCAATGTTCAATTTATTAGACAGTGAAACAAACTATTTTATTGCATAAATTTCTTACGAGTACTACTGCACTTCTTTCCTCGCTTACCTTGGCGCACCACTAATAAGGCACAAACATTTTGAATACCGTTACAAAATATAGGATATTCATCAAAACGCATAAATGCCTCGTAATCGTGTAAAACAACCCAAATAAACCGGTTTTCCATACAAAATTGCCCTTTAATGTTGCAAAATTCTGCAAAGCTATTACCTAAAATTTTAAGCTTTAATTAAGAAATTGCAAAATCCTTAATAGGGAAACTACGTTCTTAAAATATCTTATAGATTTCGAAGAATTTCTACTTCGCTAGCAATTCATGAACAAATGTGTGTACAATGTAACACATCTATGGTTGCCAAATGTTCGAAGAATTTCTAAAATATTTACACAAATATTTAGGTATATATGTAAATAAATTAAAATTACGTGAGTCTGCACTTGCTGCTGGTTTCCAAATATCTTGTCTTGCGCTTAACTATCGTCTTACTTAGTTCTAAATACATTTATTTGCCACACACACACACATAAGTACAGTGCCGGCCATTTTAATAGCGCGCCACTTTGGCAACTCAGTATTGCCAGTTTTATTACATTTTCATTCACTTTTTTTAAAATAACAGCAAATTCTATAACAAAAACCACGTAAGTCTGATTTTCAAACTAATACAAAATTTATGTATAATAATTCAACAAATTTTCTTCAAAATTGATAACACTTTTGAGTATGCAGTTTTGTAGGCCATTAATTTTATTTTTAGAAACTTTAAACTTGCACCTTCTTATACCGAAGTTGAAGGACTATAACACTCAAAAAGAAAAATTGTTGAAAATTGGTAAATTTGTTGATTTTTAAAATTTTGTATAAATCGCATTTTTATAAATGTTTTTTTTTTTTTTGTTATGGAATATGCAATATTTTTATAAAAAAGTAAAAAAATAAACAAAAGGAACAGAGGCAATACCGAGGCTCAAAAGTGGGCGGTATTCAAGTGGCCGGCACTGCATACATATGTATGTGTGAACGTACCTGAACTTGCATATATTTAGTAAATACATAGTTCGTCTAGCCACCCAATGGAGTTGTGTGTACTTACATATTTAGCTGGGTTTTGTTGGCCAAATGGGTATTTAAATAATTTCCAACTTGTGCAGGACATGTCTGCTTGTGTATGTATGTATATGTGGTTGAAACACACGTGTGTACGCCATATATATGTACATATGGACGCCATTGAAGCAATAAACCCATGCACGTACATTGATATATATGTATGTATGTATGTGTGTACATATGTATGTACATTTCCCAAAGAACAGCTGATGGCATTTGTTAAATATTGAAATATATGTACATATGTATGTATGTGTGCATGTGCATTGTAATTGTAACCAAATTGTTTTTACGTGTCTGGCTTGTTTTTGTTGTTGTTGTTATTAGCATTCGACTTTCGTAATGTGTTTGCAAAATGAAAAGCATCCACCGAGGAGGTCGAGCTCTCACGTCCCCACTATCAATGGAAGCTGAAGTGAAATTGTATGGCCAGAAACTTGCGAAGCGGAAGGGAGTAAAGTAAATGATTTTGGCACATTTGTTTCCACTGGGTTAATGGGTAAATAAATAAACAGAAAAGGCATGCGCCTAAAAGCCGGTCATACACTAAATATGTATGTATGTGTGTACTAAGTTGGTAGGCATTGGGAAAGTGTGCTCACATGCTTGTCATAATGACCCGATGATAGGTTAGTGGATTTTATTTTGTATATTTATACAGAATTCAGGAAGTGATTATGGACTGCGAGTCGTGCGAAAATTGGACTATAGGTATGATTAAAGTGAAGTTGTTGCAAATATTTAACACACAAGCTCTCTAAAATGAAGTTTTAAGGACCTAGAAGTGGGCACTACCATTGTACAAGGGGTTGGGTTCGAACCCGGTTTTTGAATAACATTAAAAAAAAAAAATAAAAGAAAAAAATAAAAGGAGCTCTCCCCTCGGCAGGAATTGGAAAACCTCCGGAGGTATGTACTTCTGCCATGAAAAACAGTTTCTCATAAAAAATTCAATCGCCGTTAGGAGTCGGCGTAAAACTGCGGGCCCCTTCCCCTTTGTGTGACAACATCAAGGCGCACGTCACAAATCGGAGGAGAACTTGGCCAAGCATTCGCGTTTTGTATAAGCGCCCATCTATTATTATGATTAGTATTGAGTTAACTTTCCAAAAACCGTCTCTGTATATGCTTGTTAAGAAACCTGCGCTGCGACCCAGTTAGATAGATCAATTGTGCAAACGATTGTGCTAAGCGCTTTTGCAGCCTGCAAGCTCCAGCCTCTTGAGGGAAAATCATATGGAATATTCTCTGGGGGTTTCTCCATCTGTCCACCAAATCCACAGCCCATATCGTCGGTGGGTCCCATTTTACAAGGATGGTTACTTAGCCTGGAGTGTAGGTCTTCAGGCCAGCTGCTGCGAAGTCTGTATTGGCTCGATATCGCTGAGCGTATAGTCTTTTAAAAGTCTGACTCTGCGGTGGGCTAGTGTTGGGCAGGTGGTAATGCAATGGTCCTACAGAGGCCGAGCATGGTTTGTTGCACGTGTAGTCGCCTGTTAGTACTCCACACAGTGTTTCTGAGATTTTCCTACTTAACATAAGTGCCGATAGAGCTCTTTTGTAACTGAAACAAAGCAATTTCTTTGAGTGATGGTGTCCCTATAACTTATCTCAATGGCTAGCAGTGCAAGATATTGCCCACTTGTTGAGGTCCTTCTAGATATCGTTACTGTTGAATCCAAGAAATGGGCAGGGTCAACCAAAGGTGTGTCTGGCCTTTTTTTTTAGCTTGGAAGTCCGCTTTTCGTTGCCTTCATAGCCCTTATGACCAGGCAAGAAGATTAAGGAGACCGTATTTCGGGCGGCTAAACTATTGAGTGCTCGACGGTACTCTATAACGGTTTTTGATGAGAGCTAGTAGTTATCTTGTGTGTCCCAAAGTATGGATATTTCCTGTCCTAAGATCCTCTGGACTGAGATTAGGCAGTCGATGTTTGCTGTTGCGGCTACTTAACTCCGCCTCGAGTTGGATAGTCCCTCAATAGTTGCAGTCAAGCTCAAATAACGGTAGTCTTAAGAAACGTGGTGTTTCGACGAGGTTCGGAGCGAGTGGTGATAGCTGAGTTGGGTTGAGTGCGCCCGTGAAGACGTAGTGGTGTCATGTTTGAATACTTTCGATGCCGGACCTACATTGGTATGTCGGGGTCTAGTATCGATAAATAGGAGTTAAGTCTTGAAGAGTATCCATACCGCTATTGAGCCAGAGACACCATGATTGGGAGTCTATGTGATTGTCTATTACACTTTGATATACAGTGCACTCCCAGAAATATTAAGTAGGTTGTTATTAAGCTAATTAAGATATCGGAATTTTTCAGATTTGCAGACGTTTTTAAAAAAAAAATTTTCAATATACAGGGTGTCCCAGAAGTAATGTGCCAAACTTTAGGGGAATGTAGGTGGGGGGTGAGCTCCCTGATAAACAAAAAATTTTCAGGTAAAAGTGTCACCGTTTTTGAAATACTTACATTTTTTCGAATATAAAAAAAATCGTGCCTTTTCATGTGTTTTCTTTAACTGCAACTACAAACCGGGCAATACTTAGTAAATTTTTTATGTAAAATACTTCCAGATAGTTACCTCTCCATACTCAAATGCAATGTAGTTAAAATATATTAAGGAACCATCATAAAATTAGGACTATTTCTGGATTTTTAACTTTTTGATATTTTCTTCCCCAACTTTGACTATCTCGGGTAAAAAAAAAAATGTACTGAGCTATAACTTTACATTACATTAGAAAATTGCTCATTTAATAAAGATTTTAGAAAGGTGCCACTCTTACTGTTTCGAATAGAAAAAAAAAGTTATAGCCGATTTTGTGGGTAAAGGGCTGGGACACGCTAGAATGTATTTAATAGATTTAAATTTATTTGTTACCGACCAATGACATGCTAAATAGTACAAAGGTACATTATTACCTGCTCCTGACATTATTTTGTGTTACTTGCCGGAATTAGTGAAAGTGGATTTTGTGAAATTGGACCCTTCGAACATTGTGTTATTTATACTATGACAGAGAACACGCAGTATACGTCGCATGAATATGCGGATATTCACCTAATTTACGGTTAAGCTTGCTGTAATGCCAGAGCTGCTCAAATACTCTATGCAGAGCGATACCCCAATCGTCGACATCCGGGTCGTGAAGTATTCGCCCGGACCCATAGAGAAATATATGAAGGTAAGTGATTTTTACACCTTTCTTGTTTGCTTGCTTGTTAACTATGATTTTTCACTTTTTTAAGGTCGCATACCTGGAAGGCGTGGCGGCGAAACAGGACGTCCTGCAACGGTAGATGTTGAAGCTGTGTTAGAGGAAGTGTAACTAGGTCCATCGACTTCAGTGAGAATGATGGAAAGACGGACGGGAATACCAAAAACTACAGTTCACAAAGCTTTAAAAGACCATCGATTTCATCCCTACCACATTCAACGTGTTTCAGGCTCTACAGGAAAGAGATTACCTGTCGAGGGTTAGATTTTGCCGTGAAATGTTGCGAATGCATGAATCAGACCCCAACTTTTTTAATAAAATAATTTGGAGCGATGAATCATCATGCAAACGTGATGGTTATTTTAATTTTCATAACCTTCACAGTTGGCAGATAGACAATCCTCACGAAATGAGCGAAGATCGTTCGTAGTACCGGTACAAAATAAATTTATGGTGCGGTATTTTTAATTGTCAGATATTGGGACCTGTGGAACTGCCGCCAACGCTCAACTCTCACAGTTATTTAGAGTTCCTTCAGGAACGGCTTCCAACTCTTTTGGAAGATGTACCCTTAAACCTGCGGCGAAGACTATGGCTGCAAAATGACGGGTGCTCTGCTCACTACGGGCGTAAAGTAATAGCTCATTTAGACGAAACTTATCCTGGCCGATGGATTGGACGATACGGGCCAATCACGTGGCCCGCTCGATCGCCAGACCTTAATCCATTAGATTTTTTCTACTGGGGCTATCTTAAGGACAAAATTTATTCAAAAACAATTCAAAACGAAAAGCATTTGCGGGAACAAATAAATGGAGCTGCTCCTGAGATAGCCCAATTGAGTTTAATAGCGTTTTCTTTTCTCAAAAAAAGTTCTGCCCTTTTATATGGGAACTCTTGCTTTGCAATGCCCTGAAGCCTGAGAAAATGTTGCATTCTTTATATAAGAATGAAACAGAAAATGTACTATTCCATCACAATTTATTTTTAGAACTTAATAAAGCTGAATTATTCACTTGGCCTGTACGTCTTTAACAATTTTATAGCAAAGCACTTATTTCTGATAGGGTAAATAATTGAATTTTCACAAGATTAAATTAAATATAAACTATGCAACTCTCACCGTCACGTTTATTTGAGGGCAGAAAAGGCAGCACTTTCGCCGGATCAGAGCGCAACCTGCTAAGAAAAGAACACGACGCCTTGTGAAAGGGCTGAGAAAAGAACATGAAAATGTGACAGCGCTAACACAAGGCAGAATAAGTGCAGCCTTTTTTTCGAGAAAAGAAAACGGTATAAGATCTCTAAAAGCGTCTTTTCTTAAAAGATGCCGAGCTTGTATTAGATTAGAAGGTCGCCAATTTGAGCACATTTATCAATAAATGAATAAATTTTTCTGCAAACGACTCATGTATGTTATATTTCACGTGAACCCATCCTTCACAAAAAATATTGATAGATATAGCCCTTGTTATTGACTCTAGTCCGAATCCCGGTAAGTAACATAAAATAATATCAGGAGCAGGTAATAATGTACCTTTGTACTATTTAGCATGTCATTGGTCGGTAACAAGACCAACTTAAATTTAAATCTATTAAATACATTCTAGCGTGTCCCAGTCCTTTACCCACAAAAGCGGCTATAACTTTTTTTTTCTATTCGAAACAGTAAGAGTGGCACCTTTCTAAAATCTTTATTAAATGAGCAATTTTCTAATGTAATGTAAAGTTATAGCTCAGTACATTTTTTTTTACCCGAGATAGTCAAAGTTGGGGAAGAAAATATCAAAAAGTTAAAAATCCAGAAATAGTCCTAATTCTATGATGGTTCCTTAATATATTTTAACTACATTGCATTTGAGTATGGAGAGGCAACTATCTGGAAGTATTTTACATAAAAAATTTACTAAGTATTGCCCGATTTGTAGTTGCAGTTAAAGAAAACACATGAAAAGGCACGATTTTTTTTAATTCGAAAAAAATGTAAATATTTCAAAAACGGTGACACTTTTACCTGAACATTTTTTGTTTATCAGTGAGCTCACCCCCCCACCTACCTTCCCCTAAAGTTTGGCACGTTACTTCTGGGACACCCTGTATGTATGTATATCACCGAAATATGAAACTATCACTTCAATCATATCAAATCCTAAGATTTGAAAAAGCTACATGCTAGGAAAAATTCGCTTAAGTTTTCTGGCCAATTAATATCGCCAAATTAGTCTTTCTACGTAGAAATTCGAAGGCAGATACTTACATGGCAGGAATATGATTGGATGTAATTGTACACACATATTTCTAAAACCTCTGATTCTGAACTTTGCCGCCTAATTGATATTTGCTAAGTTACCTTATGCGACCGTCCCGCCTTTTAGATTCCTTGGCTGCTCACAAAATTCTGACATCCAGAAACCCATTAAATCGATTTTTAATTTGATTATGTTTCATGGGGAATACCCATACCATATACGTTGAAAATCAACTAAGTCAAATCCGTCGGTACAGGGAATATATACCTCACTAAACTATGAAATCGATCGAGTGGAAGATTGACCTATCTCGGTGCCCTATCTCAAAAAGCTTTTCAAAAACACCCTACTTCAGAATTTTATTGAAGAAAGCCCTATCTCAGCACACTTTCAATGTATTTTCAGCCGAGATAGGACATTTTTGAACCGAATTCTGAGATAGGGTATTTTCCAATAAAATCCTGAAGTAGGGGTTCCTGAAAAGTTTTCTGAGATAGGGCGTTTTCGAACTGGCTGCCGAGATAGGTCAATCTTCCATCCAGGTGTCGATATAGACTACATTTTCCTATTGCAGGCGAGAAATCATAATTATTTACCTCATAGTTCAACTCTTAGTTGAATCAAGGAATTCTTTAACAATTAAACGTTCTTAATGACCTTATGTTAATGAACACGCCACAAGATCGATTAAAAATTACTTTCACTCACCTGTCATCTTCTCCTCGGCGCCCGTTACTGCCGTCGCATTCGTTGCCGTTCCCAGTCTCGACGATAGATTGTGCAATTCAATCTTCTTTGTTTTCGCTATATTACCGAAGATATCCGCGCTGGCGCCACTACCGCTACCCGCTGGCGCACCATCTTGTGGCGTCACTGTTGCCGCGCTGCCGCTACTCCCGCTGCTACTCAGCACTTGCGCCAACTTCTTGCCCAATTGCAAAGCCATCTGCTCATCCGGACTATCCGATTCGAGTTCCGGACTCGTATCAGGCACCAATTCCAAATATGTCGTTTGTGAGACTGACAAATGTGCCACCTTATCGGCGCGATGTCTTCGCTGGAGCTCGTGTACTGCGCGCGCTGTTGTCGGCGATAGAATGCCCGAGGTGTCGGCTGATGTTATGCTGATCTCACTGATCGGTCGTTCTTTGATAAGAGTTGGTAGATCGTTGAGACCGCGCGCTGCCAAACGATTGTATGCGCGTGAGAATCTGTCCACTTCATTTGCAGTTTCTGGACGTAGTTGTTGCTCGCCGATGCTACGCGGTGATATGGGGTCTGTAAAGAGTGAATCAGAACTAGTTGACAATTCCTTGAGTAGAACAATATCGTAGTTTTGTTGTTGTTGTTGTTGTTGATGTTGTGGCTGTTGCCGTGTAATCTGGCGACCCGAGACGAGCATGTTGTTGTACTCATCATAGATCTCCCCTTCGTCAAGTGCGTCTGCAGTGTTTTTTGTTTTTTTTTTGAGAAGAAATTGTGCCGCAGCAGCGAAATTGAGGTGATAAGAAGAGCGAAATGTTAGAGAGAAAATAAATATTTTTACATTTGCTTTAAGGTATCGTAGTAGAGTGAAGCAATGGAAGGGGGATGCGGATGCGCTGAGTTAGGAAATATTTGAGAGGAGATGCTAGTTTCCGGTGAGGCAGTAGGTAATGATTTTTCTGATTGAATTTTTAATTGATTTTCTAAGAATCTTCTAGAAAGATGTTATAACAAGAATACTAATGCAGCTATCTAAAAAAAAGCTTTCTAAAAAATGCTAGTACAAATTTATTACTGATTATTTTTCGTTTTGTTTAATGCGTCCAGTATATGCAGCTGGGTTTGGTATATAAAATCATACGATATTTTAGGTTCTTTGAAGATGAAAAAATTAAAAGAAAAGAGTTAAAACGCAGAGTTCTGACTCCGAGGTTTTTCCATTAAGTACTCGCATCAACCGCTCTAATGGCTGCTACTCCTGAAACCATTTCTGCCACTAGAAAATATACCCTCCCTTAAAGAAATACGTTATCTGTGAGTTATTCTTGATGACATCCTCATTTAGAATCCGCGCCTATATAAAACTATTCAAAAGATCAGCACCTCCCCTTTTTGCCTGACGGAAGCTAATGGGGAGTTATGGCTATTCCAACATCCGCCACACTTGTCCGGTGAAAGAAAACAAAATCGAAGTCTAGCTCAGAAAACTCCCACGAATGGCACGGCCGGTACCTTCCATTTAATAATGTATTCTCTACATAAACTGAGCCTACCGATGCGTCGAAATCACTCCCAGCGGAGTAAGGCAGCGTGTCTATCCAGAGAAGAGTAAGTCAACGACCTGTTGGAACCTCTGGTAATAAGGCGCTGTCAGCACCTAGCGCTAATTGTTAGATGGAAGTTTTTAAACACCCTGTATAAATTTATGCAAAGATACCTGAACTTTGTTGTAAAGAGGGTTACGAATTGTGAACCAGCCGTGAAGCCTCATAAAAAGGGGGTGAAATATAAAATAGCTATTCCACCTCTAACATTGGTATTCCACTTATTCTCCGAGAGAGGGTGGAGTATCTGGGCTTGATCCTAGACAGAAAGTTATTCTGATATCTCAGATTCGCTTTTCAGTTTAAAAAAAAAATGTTACTATCCTCTCTCAAGAAATGATTGACTTGTTTCTTTCGCTCCGTTAGTAATTGAACTACTGAGTGCGCTTTATATAGCAAAAAAAGTCGGGGACGTTCGCCGAGTTCAAGTCGCCTAAACAATCCAGAAAATACTTGTTGAAGAGGTGGTTGCGCGTGTTGGCCAGGTTGGCACAATGGATGGAGTTCGATGGTCTCCTCCTCCTCCTCGTCCCTGCAACTGCGACACAAATCGTTGGTGGGGTATCCTAACCTTTTACCTGTGTGCCCATCAGGCCGTGTTCGGTGATTACCCGGACTCATGGGCGTTGCCAGGTAGGGGCAGGGGGGTGCTCGAGCGCCCCCTAACTTTAAAATTTTCCTTATATATATATAAAATAGTACCCTGAAATACCAGCTTAATAGGGTCGAGCCGATGCCCGGACTACTATTTAATCTGAGAGAAGACCGGCCCAGCCGAGTAAGATCTAAGGATCGCCTTACATCAATCTTTGCCCAAATTTTCCTGGTAGTATGGCAAGTGGTTTCCACAGCCCACCTGGTATTTACCTCCTCAATGAGTTCAGCCTTTGGTCTGTGTTTGCAGGAGGTTAGAGGTATGCCCGCATTCTGAGCAGAATTGACTTCGCCACCTCGTCGGCTAAGAGTTGCCAGGAATGTTCCTATGTCCAGGGACATATACAACAGTCAAGGAGCATTTTGATGCCAACAGGTTGAGAGTCTTCCTGCATTCTATGGCTACTTTGGACGTTGTTCCGTTAGATTTGAGAGATTTGATAGCAGTCTGGCTGTCAGAATAAATAGCGATAGGCCATCCCGGAGGGGCGGAGGTTAAGAGCCACGGAGCCGAGTTATTATGGCGTTTAGCTTTGCTTGAAAGAACCACCCTGCAACCCTACATAGAAACATATGAACTAAATATAATTCATCCAAGACCTGTAACCAAATAGGGGTTTGTTAAAATAGGTATACATTTTTGAGAAAGATATGTACGTTTAAAACTTGGAAGTATGAATTGAGAACATACTCCGACCCAGGGGCGCTCAACAAATTGAACTTACTGAGCCAAACGACAAAAACGCTCCTCATCGAAGTAATCGCACACAGGATTTATTTTTAGTTGTTACGTGATTATGTCAAAAGAACGGGGATTACGTCTCGCAAGTGAAACAGCCCACATTTTTTTTTTTAAATATTTGCACGTCTATAATCAATCTTCCCACCATATGCTTGGAATAAACAATTAAAGTACAGAATTTATGACATCAAGCCTTTAATTCGGAGCCAATTTATGGCAGAGTCATACTTTACGCATTGTATACACAAAAATATAGTTACATATGTATGTATGGAGATATGTACATATGCATATACATTAGGGTGGTCCGTAAATGTAGGGAGGCAATATAAATTTTGGTCCCGATTAAAGTCGGTTAAGGCGTGCCGCGCAGGGGTCATAATTAGATTACCCTATAAAAGCGTCATATCCTACTCCAGTCGGGGCCAAAATTTATATGTGATATCCCCGACTAGTAGTATCGATTTTGGGTATCAAATAAAACGAAATATTTTGAATTTTTTGGGTCCTTGGAGGCCTCCGGCCTTTGCCCCCTGTCCGACACGCTTCAACCGTCTCCAATCAGGAGGGGGTGAGACTGAAAAAAATCGTTCATTTTCATTTAAGGACCACCCTAAAATACATACATATTTTGTTCCTCAAGCACAGCCCACACAAGAAAACTAAAGGCTATAATAGCAAGCAGACAAAAAAGCGACAGCGGCGTCGTAAACAAATGGCAGTTGCCAGAAGACAAAGCGAAAGAAAGAACTTAAAAAACACAAGTATTCCAGTCCAGTTCCAAGGCAACAGCGACCAGCAGGGGGGGGTCTTAGTACTGGAAATAAAATTACATACGAAAATTATCCAACAGAGTGAGAGACAGAGGGAGAGAGAGAGAGAGAGAGAGAGAGAGAGTGGGGAAGAATATAAGCCTATAGAGGTGCAAGAAATGGATTGATGGCAAATAATTTTAGCCGGCTCAGAACCAGAATAAAAAGGTTGAAAGTGGAATGTGTGAAAAAGAAAAGAAAGTGGTAATACTCGTATAATAAGCGACTTAGGGACATGGGGGGGGTGGGAATTAGGAAAAATAAAGGCGTTAAAAAGTTACCGGAAGCATGTTAAGGTCGCTGCTTGACATACAAAGGTCATGTGTGTGACTTAGAATAGGATTTGTGCTAAAATAATAGCTTTATTTATAACTCAACAACGTCTATGTAATACATGTATGTTTGTATGTAGATACGTATATACATTTTTTTTTTTGAATTTTCATGCGCAAAATACCGTAAAAAATAGTTTATGGCTCGCATTAGCTAGCATTCTGTTTTGCTAACCCAAGGGACGCGCTCGAACAGTGCATGTAATGTAAATTTTAATATGTATGTTTACATACATACATACATATATATGTATGTACATGACTGTTTGTGGTTATTGGCTTGGAACTGGAATTCGACCGCGGCGGAGTCGCTGAACTGCGGAGGAGGTTGCGTGCAACATGCAAATGCCAGGCAGCAAAATGACCAAAATGGAATTAGTGGCAACCTAAACATTTTGTAGTGTGTATATATGTACATACTTACACACTTACATATAAATATGAAAATAAGTATTACTGCAATAGGTGTGGAGTTGGTGATGAAAAAGTGCATGGCAGAAGCTGAACATCATGGTTGGGGGAATGAATGGAAGTCGCAATGTAAAACTAACTGAATGGAAAGTGGCGTGAAGAGTTTTACGAGCTTGTACATATTCTAACGGCGCAACTGGATGTGTTCTTTTACTTTTTATTTTTAGTTAAATTATGTCTTTCATACGTACACACACCTACGATATTTAGACACAATTTTTCGTTTTATTTTTTTTTTTGTTTTACTTTAAATTATATAATTTTATTATATTTCTTTTTTGTAATTTTTATTTTATTATGGGCATTCATCTAAACGTGTAAAGGCCGCGTAAAACTTCGTAAATAAACTCGTTTTCTACCTGCAAAATTACATATGTACATACATAAGTTTACGAGGTTTACGTGGTCACGAGCCATTCACTCATATATGTAGATGAATTGCCTTAATTTCTTAAAAAAAAAAATAAATTATTAAAATTTTAATTGAAACTATTTGTATTCATTTTAATTTTTAATAAATTTGCAATAATTAAGTACAATTTTGTTTAATTTCTATAATGTTTTTCATTGGGTTTATTTGCTTTTTTCTTATCTCTTTTCACATTATTTTGTTAATTCTTTTTTTACATTCTTCGTATATTTTAACTATGTTAATTAGTTAAATATTTTAGATTTAATTTTTGTTATTTTTTTGCTTTACTTTTATTTTTATTTAATTTTTATATTATTTTTTTAACATACTTAATTTTTAATTTAATACCATTTTTAATTTCATGTATTTTAAAAATTATTTCATACTTTTTCGTTTAATTAAAAATAAAGTAGACTGTTTGTATTAATACATTTTTTGTTTTAATTTAATTTATTTAATTTTTTCTTATGATTTTGTATTTAATATTTTAGTTTTTTTTTACAATTTAATATGTTTTATGTATTTTATGTTTAATTAGTTTTTAATTGTATTTATATATTTTCATCTTTATCCCAGCATAACGCTTATTTATTTATTTTTAGTTGATTTTAATTTAAATTTTATATTAGTATAACATTTATTTTTATTTTGTTTAATTTAATGTAGTGTAATTAAATTAAATTAAATTTAAATTACTATTTGGTTTAATTAAATTTAATTTAATTAAATTTAATTTTATTTCATTTTCCTTTATTTGCCCCAACTAAATTGTTTTAATTTTGTTTTATTGATTTTTTTTATGCAGTTTAATTTGTTTTTACTAATTGTTTTATTTTATACGATTTGTTTTTTCTTATGTTTTTTTTAACTTTTATTATATTTTAGTTTAATGTATTGATTTTTTTTTGTTATTTTATTTATTTTTATTAGCCTTTGGGTTTTAAAATATACATATACATATGCAGTTTATTTAATTTTGTTCAGTTTAATTTACTTGCATATTTATTTTATTATCAATTTTAATATTGTTATTATTATTTAAATATTTATTTTAGCTGTTTAAATATTTTTTGTTTTATTTTAAAAATTAGCTTGACTTTATTATTTCCAATTTCGGTTTGATTCTGCTCCATTAACTTTGCAACATTTATCTCGAAAATGAAATGATTTCTAAACAGTTTGTATGTGCCTATATATATGTATGCACATATGTATGTATGTAAATATTTGAAATGTAAGTATGTATATAAAATGTAAATACATACATACATACATACGTATGCAGTGCATTAAAATATCTACTACTCTAGTTTTGTTATGAAAAAATATGTATTTTTTTTTTTAATAAATAATGCAAGCTCTGCTAATAATTTAAACACTATGAATAGCTTTTAAGTTGCTTGTTTCACTACCAGCTTGTTTTTGTTTTTTGTTCTTTAATTTTGCCCCCACCTGTGGCTTCTTTGCATGCAATTGCACTTTCTGCTCCCACCGTCTTTCCGTGTTCACTTTCCTCCTGCTTTTTCGTCGCTTGTTCTCGATATTGAACCTCAACACGTTTTATGGCGTTCGCCGTTTTCCACGATTCTGTTTGCACAACCAACCTGCGGTGGTGGCCAAGTTTTTTCTCATTCTCTACACTTTTCTCGAAATTTTTCGATTTTTCAGCCAATTCAAATTTTTCACTGTCCACGCACTGATCCACTGCTGGTTCATTAGTGATTTCACCACCACGACTTTGCCTTTGATTTGTGTACCTTTGTGGCTTTGCTATACCACAACTATCAGCAACAACAACACTAATCGATTGCACCGCATCGCCATCACTGCTACTAAAACTTTTTGACGTTGCAACCCGTTGTTTTTCGTGTGTCGCCGATCCGCTGCCTGTGAAATGTAAAGCATTACTGAAGTCACACTGGAAATTGGTTTGTGTGTTTTGTAAATTGGTAGTACATAGAACTCTGGCTGGAGCTTCAGTTGGAGCTGTTGTGTACGCTCGCTGTCTGCCAGCGAGCAAAGAAAGAAAGCAAGTAAAAAACAGAGCACAGAAAAACGCAGCGGTAAAAAAAGAGCTGAAGCGGCGGCTTGTCGGCCGGGTGCTCTGGCGCTTTTGTTGGAGCGTCGTCGTCGTCAGTGTTGTTCACTTGGCTGCCTTAGCTTATTGGAGAGTTGGGTTTGAAGCGAGTACGGGCTGAGTTTAGGTGGGTTTTATGTGCGCTCTAAGGTGTGTTTAAATTTTATTGAAAATTAAATAAATTAATAGTTGCGTGCGATAGGTGTGAAACGGAAAGCCACGTATGAAGCGTGAAGGCCCTTGGGAAAAGCTAATCAAACAAATGCGCGCATATTTGTATTTTGATATGTAGTACTTCGGTATGTGTTTGTATATGTATTTAAAGTAGAACAATAAAGGTCACTCTTGCAGTTAGAGGTCAGCCGTTGTTTGCTGATTTTATTCATTGTTCTTCAACGTTGAACTTAGTTCTTACTCTGGGCCATTTTCGATAGTGGATTTTTTTGTTTGATATGAAGCCTAAAATCTAAGAAGCTCTAACCGCGAAAAAAACGTGAAGTTTTTCAAAATTTTCCAGATGCATTAAACAAAAAATTTTGAAAAAACATAGCTGGCGGTGTTTTTTTATGAATTCCCTATTGTTTGCATATCAGCTTGGAGGGAAGTTTCAGTTATATTCAAAGTTGGGATCAAGAAACGCGAAACTATTCTCCAAACAGAGTAATTATGAATCCTAACCCGGCATTGTAAACCCTGCCCTTACAAAAAACAGAGTTCACTGATATACTTGAAAACAAGTAAACATAAAAATCTCCGGCGAGAGAGCGTAACACATTGTTTTTGGTTTTTGACATTCTTCAGAAGTGGAATAAAAACAAAACCTGAAAGCAATAACAAAAATAAAGCTTTTTTACGATTACGGTTTTTTATCATTTTTATCCTTTCATTTATAAACAAAACATATGCACTTTGACACACAACTCTACACTCTACCACAATTAGCCAACACTGACAACAAACTCTCCACCTAGCACAGCGATTGAGCCTCTCTTTTGTACTAAGTACATTACGCTCATCAAACCACGCTCAACACTATACGCTTTTATCGCTTCCCCCACAGGCAATTCGTCGTGTGTTTTTTTGTTGTGATTACTGCCCTTTTACCAACACTTTCGTGTATGTACTCTACCGTTTCGCTTTGTGTTGACATTCCACTTAGTAGCATCGTCGCCTTCTTTGTTGTTGGCGTCTGTAGTTGTTGACAACGCTGGAATACTATGACCACTTCCCTCCACCGCAATGGTTCCAACTGTTGATTCTTCCAACAGTTTTTTGGTATTTTTTCCTATTTGTTTTGCTTGCTTGCTTCTTCCAACCGCCATCTGCTGTACTGTTGTAGCTTCAATCTCTCTGCCTCTACCCGCTCCATCGTCGTCGTCATAGTCCAACCATTCCCGCTCATCGTCTGTTGTGCTGCCAGCATCGGGTGCTGTGGTTGTGGTTCCAATTGCTTCGCTGCCGCTATTTGTGGTGACCGCTGCAAAGAGATGCTCAATGAATTCACGGTGATCTTCGTGCTCTTGCTTTGGTGTTTGTTTGTCGTTTGTTGCCCCCGTTGTGGGTGCTGTGTATTCAAAATCTGTTGATGACTTTAGCCTCTTTGTTGTTGCTGATGTCGTTAATTCTTTTATTTGTTGTTCGCATTGCGTTGTTATCGCTTTTTGTGAGCGAGTCGCACTTTCTTTTGTTTCAGGTGGCTGCGGTGCGGGACGCTTTTGTCTGGCAGCTGTGCTCTTTTTGTTACCTTCTGTTGTCGCGTAATCTTCTGTCTCATCATCAACTTTTCTGCTGAAGAATTTTGTTAGCTTTTTCTTTGCCGATTGTGGTTTTTGACTTTTTCCTGCACAATTTGCAATTTATTAAAAATTACCAATTTACTATTCGTTATAAATAAATAATCAAAAGACAATCTAATTCTAGTTTAAAAATGAATAACGCCTTACATTTTAAAACGCAACGTTAACTCGTAAACAGGTATAAAAACTCCAAATATGTATGTAACTGCATGCGAGGAATTCAAAATAGTTAACATAAGATTAGTTATAAATAGTAAGATTTACAGAAGTATTCAAATGTCTAAGAAACCACTAGTTGGTATAAAGCTGTACATTTCGATTGCTTCGAACTATTAAAAAACATTTACTAAATATGTACATGTATGTATGTAAATGTGCATGAGTTATCTATATTTAGTATATGAATTACAATATCTTCTGGATGTATTGGAGAACATTTCGACAAATCAGCTCTGAAACCAAATCTAGCTTTTGGGAATACATTGGTAGATATTAAATGAGACTGTGCACTAAGTATCTATTGTATCCTCTGCTCTTCTCAACACTTCAGTCAAAACTATCGCCGCTAGAAGATGTGGTGTTTCTTTGTTCGAGTAGCAGAACCGCCAAACATCGTTCGATCGTATAGTCTATGTAGATGATCCTTTAGTCTACACTTCCCTTTAAAAATCTTTGGACCATTTTTAATTTATTTTTGGAAGATGGATAAGAAACTGGAGTCCCTTAAGCAATATCCCTCAACTTGAGCACAACCAGCGCTGTTATCTCATTGATCCTCTTGCCTCTCTGATCTCTCTGCTTATATTAAGACCTATTGCCAGTTCACATACAATTGGAATTGAGGCTGACTTCTGATGGCGACAATTTTTTTTTACTTTCTGCGCAGGTTTTTTCTTCATACATAAACTTCCGCCTGAAATATGCTGGGCTACTCTCCCATTGCAACCGACATCCTAATTCTAGCTTCAGGTTCTGAAGGTTTTCTTCAGGTTCAACCCCTCAGTACCATCCTTTAATTACGTGTAGATTCCTTTATCGCATTCCCGAACTTTCATTTAGCTACACGATATACATAGCCAAGGGCAGCGGACTCAATTATTTCAGAACAGATGAAGAAGACCGTATCGTACTAAGATCCAACAAGGGGAAATAAGAACGACTCCCTTGGCGGGAATCTTTGAAGAAACATTAGTTGTACTAAAGACAAAGGGATCGATTGCGAACTTTCCACTGCATACCTGCATAATTTAGAGTATCTGAAGATTCATTTAGTTATTTTCGAATACTAAAGTTTTCTAAATCCAATAAAATAAAATTATCAACAGATAAAGTTTGGCTAGGTTGAGATGGCTAGAGAGGGTGACTTCCCTTACAACCAAGAGCAGACCCGTTGTGATACCATATGCATTACCCTATGGCGTTACGACGCATACTAGGGATCAGGCACACACATGAGTTGTATTCTTTGAAGCCGGGCCACCTCGTTTAGAGATCTGCGGATTCCGTATGAGTCTAGAGATTTCAGGGCTGCTTGACTCTCAGAGAAGATGAATACTTGTCTTTTCTGTTTGGATCTTCTTGATAGGTGCCAGTATACACCGGTATGGACGCCATCGTCATTTTCGGGTGTCCGGATGTACCATGATTCCAGGCACCGGCCTCTCTGAGTCTTAAGGCTGCAATAACGGCTATTTCATGAACAATTGCGTCAGGCGTGGATAGATGAAAAATCGCGTTCAGAGCTTCGGTGGGGGTACATGATAGAGCTCCGCTGGTGCATAGCTCCGCAAATCTTTGTACACTTAGAACTTGTTTAAGCGTTGTTGCCTTGCTAGGGGTAGGCGACCAGACTAGGGATCTGTAAAGTAAAATCGGACGAATAATGGCTTCGTAGATCCAGAGAACTATCCTGGGTGAGAAGCCTCACGATACGCTGATCGCCTTTTTACAGGCAAAGAGCGCTGTGGTGGCTTTCTTGATGCATTCCATTCTGTTGTCCTTCTAGAGCAGCTTACTCTCGAGAATTACTCCAAGATATTTGGCAGTACGTCTAAATTTCATGCTTGAGAGTTTTGAAGGTGTAAGAGCCGGTACTTTATACTGTCTCGTAAAAAGTTTTCAGTTTTAGCTGGTCCAAGTAACTAGCGAATTAAGAGTAGCTTGGATGAGATCGCACAAAGTTTGAGGAAATGTTTCCTCTATGATAACCGCAACAACATAGACTTATGTATGTATGTGAGGACCTCATATCCATTCACCGCCATGTGCCGCAGCAGTTGGTTGACCGTCACTACCCATAGGAGTGAAGTGAGAATACCCCATGCGGAGCGCCCCTTTGATAGACCAGCCAGTCATCTGCCCCTCCAGTTTCGAGCTCACCACCCTGCTGGTGGGCAATTGGTCAGGACCAGAGTTTTAGCCATCCGCAGGTGCGTCTGAGACGAGGTACTCGTATAGGCGAAGACATTGTTGAAAGCCCGGCTGCTATGTCCAGCAATGCTATTAATGCAAATTCCTTTATTTTTAGTGATCGCTCATTTTTACAACAAATTTTCTCTTCAACCTTCATGCAGTACACTGCGTCATATCTTCTAAAGTTGCATTTGTCGCTAAAATGCGATGTTGAAAATCCAGTTCCTCGATTTTGACATGATTTCGATAATTCTATTTCCATTAAAATTCGTGCTCATTTAGAATTCGGATATTCAAATGACATTTTCGCTTATAACTACGCAGTATTCGCGTATTAGATTCCAACTCAAAGTGCGATACGCTTATTCAATTTTGCTCCTATAACTGTGCATTTTAATATGCGGAAATTTCGATGCGATTTCCCTTGTTGCATTCGGATAAGTGTATGTATGTAACATAACATGAAAATGCATAGCAAAGCGCCTATAGCATAGCACCACATGAGTGCTGTCAATGAGCGAAACAAGCATTAATTCGGGTATTCGCGAGCGCACGAGCAAATGCATGTGCATGTGCATGTGTGCGTGTCTGTGTAGGTGTTTGGGAATTTGTGATGCACCGGCAATGCAACGACTACATAATTTGGTAGTTCAGCAGCGTTCTGTAGAAGATAAGTATGCCAAATGTATGTAAATGTTCATGCATACACACACACAAATATTCAATTATCTATGTGTAGGTGCCACACACACACACACACAAATATTCACATACAATGCATAGCAGCGGTACTAAGATAGCAGCGGTAATGCATAGATGCGCTTCATGGAATTATTACGTTGCAAACTTAATTGACCACGTTTCAGCAACAAAACTCCCCAGAGCGCAACGTACAGCACTCAACTCGCCCACACATGGCCGCATCACCACAGCAAAGAGTAAAACGCGATTGGAATCGTAGTTGGGTGGTGTGCTGTCATTGGATATGTAGCGGTGAAATAGAAAAAAATTGAATTGGATTGTGAAAGTATGGAAAAATTGGTTAAAAATATTTGAAGCGTACGAAATTTGATTTTGAATTTGACTTTTGGCCGCCGCCGCGTGACAAGCAACACCCAGCAGTCGTAACGAAATAGTAAGCAATGTCACAGAATACAAACAAACAAACATACATACATACATGAGTACACCATATCACTCCCTTAGCAGTCGGATTTATTGCGTAAGCCACAACGGTGTTGATGCGAACGAGACCTGTGATGTGACGTGGCACCGCTGATGCTGTTGAGCTTAGATAATCTGAAGAGTGTGACGGACAGGGGAAACGGATTGTTGTAAATAAAAAGCTTTATTCCATTTGCCGCGAAAAAGTTATGTGCAACGGCCAAAGCTGGCTGTGGTACTTGTTGGCCGCATGCACGAACGCCTAAAAGCAGACTACACACTTGCGCTGTGTGAAAGGCTTAACAAAAATATTCAATTCCATTCACTGTATTATGAACTTATGAATTATGAATTTTGTTGCTTTTGTATTTATGTGTTCGGATTTATGCAGCAAAAAACTTCGTCAAATATAATGGCATACAAATTAATTCTGTAAGAAAAGAATGCAAATTCAAAGAGCAGCTTCTTTGTTGACGATGAATAAAATTCGATTTCGTTGTGAATGCATATGTATGGCATAGTCAGTGTTTGCGTGGTTACGGATGTACATACGTATGCATTTGCTTATGTAAATCCATTTAAACTTTTAGACTTTATAGAATTTTGTTTAGAATTTTACTTAATGATGGTTTGTGTGTTAGGAGGATGATAATCACTTTAAATTGACATAAGGAACCCCAAAGAGAAGAGCAAGACGAGAGGAAACTGCTCAACTCCATTTTAGACAGCCTTATTGGTACGCGGATATTCCAATTTTAGACATCGCCACGAAGAGGCAACCCCTTTTCGCGCTGTATAAAGTGGCTTTCAAATTGGCATTTCCATAGCTGGTGTGTGTCGATGCTCTTCTCCCGGGGCTTTTTCAAAATTATTTCTCAATTCAGTACATAGCTGGCATATTAAATCACTGCCCTATTTTCCTGATGGCGCTATTCCATCCATTCCAGTTTCCTACAGAACCTATGGATACCTAAAAGTGCGCAGCCGCAACGACTAAGCGACACTACTCCTAGGAGTCGGCTCCCATCTTTACACCGCCGTCCATGGGTAGTGCACCTGTATTTTTAAGCCACGATCTGGGTTTAATAACAGGTAATCTGTAGATATATTTTCTAACCATAAAATTTACATTTTTTCAAAAACACGATTTTTGACGCCTTGTTAAATACACTGGAAATTAACTTGATTTTAATGAGAATTTTTCTTAACGAAATTATACAGGTATTTTTTAATGCCCAATTTTGTCATTAATATTTGTGTTATTAAATGCCTAAATAAGTAGTTGCAATAAGTACCAGTTTAAGTAATTTTTCGTGAAAATCGTTATCATATTGTCGTCTTAAGCAACCATCTCATTTTCAGGGCAGCCACCTCCCCTGATTAAGTTTTGGCCTTATTAGGCTATGACATTTTAAGAAACGAAAACGGAATTTTCTCACCAGTTTGCATTTTTTTCCTTTCAAACTAACATGACACGAGAAAGGGACAGCCAAAAACCGAAAGTTTTAGTACAAACGAAAACACGATTAGTCATTGTACCATAAGCAAGATTGGCCTTATAAGTTATAGCGGCGTACACACAAATCTCCAATCTGGTTCAGGGCCGCGAACCTTTATACATACATACACATCATTCAATAATACAAGGTTAGATAATTATTGACAGCTGCGGTTTAACACTCCCTTACAAAAGGTTGCATTTACGAAGGACAGAGAAAGGGCAAGAATGCAATCCCTTGTTTCGAAAATGGTAGTAGAAAAGTACGCAAAGTAGGCAATTAGTAGTGAAATTCCTTTCGTAAATTCTAATGCATTTGCAGGAAATGTGGCATTTTAAACGAAATGTTGAACGTAATATTGATATATCTACGTGAATTACGTAATTTATATGCTATTTAGCCGTATAAAAACTGCAAAATGACTCAAAATTAAAATAAGACTACTATGAGATTGATGTAAACATCCAATGCTTAGGTTTTCATCAGTTAAATATGCTTCATATGCATATACAAATAAACATATTGCACAAAAGCTTATACTTTTATTTCACACCAAAGCTACACTGTTTCCATGTTAATTTGCAAAGAAGCAACACGGTGCCACTGCTAAGGGAGCGGTGCGAGAGAGACAACTGTCAGTTTATTATTGAATCATGTACATACATATGTATACGTGCCATTACTTCCAAAGAAATATTCAATCACTTATCACCGGTCTTGGAGACATTAAATGACACAAAAATCGTACAAAAAATTTTAAAAGAACGAATTAAGCGTCTGTGTACCTTTCGTGGTAAGTGTTTAGGACTCACATGTACAAGGTAGAGGAAAATACATATTGTCAAATTGTTTCTAAAATTTTAGTATTCGCATATTTGGCCCAATTGGCTGCTGATCTTTCTAATTCGATCAATTCCAACTCTTTCATTTGTTTCGACAAAGTTTTAAGTCTGTATTAAATTACACTGGAACTCAGTCAGCTGCATTTTAAAATCTTTGATTGTTAACCAACCAAATTTAGGCAAATTCTGTTTATCAAGTGAAGTCACATCAGCAGTGGGATTCTAGAAATCGTTGCGCTAAATTTCTATCGCTAAAAATCTCTGAATGAATGACATATGGGCCTAAAAATATGCAACGCGAAAGCGGAAGGGCGTTAATATAAAATCGTAAGCAATATGGATATTGGTGCACTGGTCTACGATTGCTGATATAAACGCCTGCAAAGTTTAAAATGTTTTGCCAATTTCAGTACCTCTCACTACGCGGAAACTACTACAACAACAGTTGGGGCATGGGTTTGGGCAGCAATTTTAAGGTTGAAAATTTTAGCAATAAAAGTGAAGCTAAAAACTTTTTAAAAGGCAATCAAAAGGTCGATTAAATTGGCTTAAAAGTTAAAAGAAAAAACAAAACAAAAACTAAATAAATTAAAAAGGAATTGCAGTAAATGAACAAGCCGCCAAATTCAACAAATATTTAGTACTACAAATTTTAATTCCTTTTCATTTCCAATACATACAAATACATAGTAATATAATAGAATATCCAATTCGCAACAAAAAAAAATAGAAACAGCAGAAAAAGTATGCATTTGACTAGCAAGTAAGAGAACAAGAACAAGAACTAGAATAAGAACAAGAATAAGAACGACAACAACAATCAATGACGGCACAGTAAGTAAATTGAGTAACTGTTTTGTAAGCATAGAAGTAGGAGGACTAAAGGAGGAAGTTTTTAATATGTACACCAACAACAAGAATATTGCAATCGAAAACAACAAACTGAAAAACAATGAAAATTGTAGAATGAAAAGCACAAACTTACGGAAATCCATTTGTTCATCTTCCAATTGCCTTATCACAGCCGCATGACTTTGGCGTAGCATCAGCTCCTCCTCCTCGATGGAGTCATCGTAAGCGGAAGTCGATGTAGGTGTGGCCACAGTGGCGGTGGTGGTGGCGGTGGCCTCCTTCGTCGCGGACGCTGGCAGCTGCGATTGTTTCCTTTGGCCGAAGCGTGCAAAAACTTTCACTCGGCTGCCGCGCCGACTTTTCAATGTGCCGCTACCGCTACCCCCCCCACCAGCACCGGCACCTGCACCAGCGCCAGCGCCATTCGTTGGCGTTTGTGGCTCGTTGACTGCGGTGTGGTGGTTCGTTTGCGTGTTACCCATTGTCTTGGCTGGAGGTGTTGCGCTTGAGCGAGTCTACAATTTTGTGCGTACAATTGAAAGAGAAGAGAATCCAAAAGAATTACAAGTCAATTACAGCAGCATTGTTTAATCGTATTAATTTTCTACTTAAGTTCGAAGTTAAGTGATATCGAAAGCATTTGCAGAGCCAATGTTGGTTAATGAATGATTCTTGGAGATATTTTTGATGAGTCGATTGCTTACAATGTTTGAGCTTATAAGTTTTTTATGAGTATTTGAGTGGATAATTAAAATCTTAAAGTGGAAATTGTACATTTTCAAAATAAGTTTGCAGTCCTCTTGAGACATAAATAGCACTTGTTATCAGCAAAAGTCAGCGCTGGCAAAGCGAGGCTTCACAATTTTTAATATTAAAGTTAAAGTTAAAGTGTAATTTAAAGCAAATCCGCGTAAGTGTTACTTTTGCCTCTGAATAGAAACAGACTTAGTGAGCGGTTTTCTCCGTTAAGCTTTATTCAGAAAAAATGTGTAATCATTTCCAGTTTTCTTATTTGGTATAAAATAGGGTTCCTTGTGAAACTGTCTAAATATATAGTAGTACATAAGTATGTAGTGTCAACAAAAAAAAAATGTATTTTTACAACGCAAATAAAAATTAATAAATGAAAACGGAGTCGTGGAAATTCTTATGCCTAAGCGTGGGAGGGTGTCATGAATCAGCCAAATTTAGGCGAATATTGGCGAAGGATCCTGTTCCCTTGAGTTACTTCAGAGACGAGGCAGACGGGACAATGAGCAGTAAGGAGTCGCTAAGACTTTTGCTTAATGCTAATTTCCTTGCAACAATGCCCCAGGATAAATCTCCGCAGGAACAACGCACAGGAGTTTTACCTCCCTCTCCGACCTTGTGGACGATCGTTACATGGCCTGGACGATGACCTAGTTTAAACCCTTCATTCAAGACGCCGGGATCCGATGGCTTTATACCTGCTCAGCACCAAAAGGCTGTGAAGGTGTCGTGCAATCGGCTGGCTCTTATTTAAGTGAACTGCCTGAGGACAAGGTACATCCTCAAGGCTTGGAGGGCTCTCATGCTTCATGCTTCATGCTTCTACTAAGCATGCCTGTAGGCCTATGAGTTTGTCTTCGTTTTTAATTGACGGGATTCCTTGCGACCGTCTTTTCAGAGCTCAAGATGCTTACTGCAAAATAAAGTCGTTGGCTACCGCCCTACTCACATTAGTAAACTGGATAGAGGAAGCCTTGACCCATTAAGAGTATGCAGTAGGGGCCTTCCTCGAGAGGACTTGGTGGGGCGGGGCTAAGGAAAGAAAGGAGTGGTGAACTTCCTTGCGGACTGATCAAAATTTGGAGAAAGGGTTGGTTGAGCTATATTTTGCCGGCAGCTCTCCATGAAAACTTCTGTATAGTCTTAGAGGCGAAAACTCACTGCTGACGATCGTGACGTCAGTTTAGGAGGTTAGCATATAATATGATAGCTAGGCGATTATCAAGGCTTTATACGAAGTCGGAAAGTCTCACTACTCTGTCAACCGCGTCATCCTAATCAGGCTGCCAGGGAAACTTTGTAGAGTATGACTTGGCAAGGAAATGCACCCTTGAAACGTTATCACCGGTATGAAACAGCGTCTTTTCTCTCTGCGGGTTACTCTTGGACGGTTGGGCCTCGCCTGCAAGATTCTTCTAACCTGGGATGGATCTGAGAGGTCAAAAGAGCTCCTTTCTATTGGTGGTGGTCTCGGCAGGCCATTGTGCGATTGGTATTCACGCGGTAAAGTTAGGAATCTCAACTGATCCCTTTTGTATCTGTAGACTGTCCATCCTTCGCGAGGCTAGGAAGAAAACATTTTGGCTGAGTAACCCTGAGGAGCTCCCAGTCATTGAAATTAGTGACCTCGTTTTCGGCTCCCAGCATTCGTGATATAAAAAAGAACCAAGTGTGTCCCTTGTCTGGGGAAACAATTATAAACTAACCAAACCTAAGGTGGTACGGTCCAATGTACATTGTATGTATGCATGAATTTTGGTATGCACATGAAAAAGGTATCTAACAAAAAGAGGATATACACACTCTAAAAATTCATACTAAAAGATTATTCCTTAACTCAACGATCTTCTTGATACAATCAAAGTTGATGACATTTTTTATGCAAAGATGACGAATAACTTTAAAATAAACAATTATATTTTAACTAAACCACACATTTAAATATGGTAATTTTTTCGTTCTAGGTCATAATGACTAATAAATAAATCGTGTATGCATTAAGCTTAAAAAAGTACCCGTAAAAATTGCAAAAAAAACATTGCGAAAGCTCTGTGATAAATATGTACTTCGCATAACTGATATTTATTTACATATGTGTGTATGTGTGAATGTGATGTGACTTATTAAATGCAAAAGTAAAAAAAAAAATATTAATAAAGAAACTCAATCAGTATGCACAGCATCGCCCTTCGCTTGAATGGATTTCACGCTTATCATTGGTTGAAAAGCGAACTTATCTACTGGGAGAGCCCCAGTTAATTGGTTTTCCTGGCTAAGTAAACACAAAGTGCGTATTACGGTATGCGTAAGTATGTAAGCAGCTGTCTCAAGAGACACATCTAGAATCTAAATTTTAGATTAAATAATCAAATCAAAACCATATTTTAGATGCGAAAGGGGCAAAATTTTCGCCCCCAACATAGAGCTCGCAAAAACCCCACATCCAATCCCAGCGAAGGTGGGTCAGAAACGTCATAACATCGCGCCAAGCATTCTAAATCCTTCTTTATTTCACTGCTTGCGAGCATAATTCTTCTTCTATCTGCTAGTGTCTATTAGAAATGTGTTTTAGGCGCGACTACTAACACCCAGCGCCTAAATGCTTGCTATGCACTGCTGTATGTAGAAAAATTTCCTTTATGAAATATTTGCATATGCACTTCTCAATTGCCATATAATACAACTTTTTTAAGTTATAATTTCGGACAATGCTTCCGGACACATTTTGCGGATTCTGCATGTCTTACAACTAAGATATATGTTAGGACAAAGACAAAGATAAAATACAACAATTTTATTGAGCTTGATGCCGATTTTAATGAATAATAAGACTACTCAACAATTTTTGATCAACTTTAACCAGCAAGAATGAAACAAAACTTTTCCAACGTACAATTTTCTCCTGATTCCGCGTATATCGTAATGGTTTATCTATGTCAAATCTAGTTTCTGAGATATCCGTCAAAATATGAAGAAACCCATAGTTTTCTCAGTTTAAAAATTATAAGTAGGTTTAACAGTTTTCTAATATAGTTCTCCGTAGGGTGGCTAACTTTTTCTGATTTTAAGACGGTCGACTTTTCTTAATTTTCTGTATGTTTTTTTTTTTCTATAGTGACCAAATCACTTGTGTGATTGTATGAAGGCGAAAAACTTTTGCTGGGATCTTCTTTACAAATCTCCTAAATGCGAAAGCGATAGGATGACAAATACAACTTTTCGATGCACATAAGTTATGTAATGTGTCGCAACTATGGGTTTTTTTCATTTTTTCACCGATATCTCAGAAATTAGGTCTGACCCAGAGAAACCATTCTACTTTGGAGAACTTTTATTTAATTCCTAGTGATTTTTTTTTTGTCGTGTAGCGTAATCAATTTGTTATTTGAATATACATAATTGTTATAAGGTCATACCAAAAAACCGTTAGAGATAAAGATTACGATGAAAATTATGGCTAAGGTCAGGATTAAGTTTCACTTCTTTCTCGCGTAGGGACTACACGCCCTTAGTTTTTTTTTTACATTCTGAGCATTTGGAATGGATGTGCTTGCAAGTATGTATATCTATTTCGATTGTTTTAGGTCGTTGCCAAGGTATAATCAACAAAGTGAAGTCTTTTCAACATTTCGCTCTTTTCGAGTTCGACTGTAATGCCCAATGTAGAACAAATCGTGTATAGAAAAATTATTTATAATCTACTACAAAGAGAGCTTTTTGTTGTCGCTTTTACCTTCTTGAAGGGAGCAAAGCAATAATACCCTTCCGCATAAGTGCGCCGGATATAAAAATGCAATAAAACTATGCATGTCTGTAAGTAACTAGAAAGTGTTTTTTATTTGTTCGAAATGATTTATCACTTACTGTATTTTATGACTTCGGTGAATTTCAACAAAGGGAAATTATTATTTATGGAAATAATTTCGCAAATCAAGCAGTCGCTACTAATAAATGATTAAGCACATATACATATATGTATGTATGTATGTCCGAAGTCGATGCTATTTTTGTTGATTTTGTTTACAAGTATTTTCGTTGCTTTGTATTCGGATAAATCTTTATTCTGTTGTGTTAAATCGACTTGACGCCTGCTGATCTTGGAGTTTTAGTCGCGAGTTTAGTTAAACTCGAATGGCATATGTGTGTAGTTGTTTTTGCTTTTATGCTATGCTTTTTCTTAGTATTCAATAAAGAAATCTATCTAACTTTTTTTTTTTTAAATTTTGTGCCAACTTTCGCTGTAAAATTATCTACTTTATTCAATTCCCTTTATCACTCACTGCCGCCCGATTTTCTTATCTTTGATTTTTGTGCAATTTTATTAACTTAGTTATTTATCATATCTTTAAATTTTTTGTAGCATTTGTTAAAATTTTTGGGTGCGGCATTCAGTTGTGATTATTTATTGTTCGTTGTTGTTGCTTTGTGAGCAACATATTTTCACACGCTGTGCTTGCTGCTGAGCTACAAACTACAATTGCTTTTGCCACTGCCATTCTTGACACAGTTGTTGTTGTTATTTTTGTTGTTGTTGCTTAATGTTTTGCCTGCTGCCTTTAACATTTGCTTGCAAATGCGTTGCTCTCGTGACTTTGCCAATTAACTTTAATTTGATTTTCATTGAATTATTGAAGCTACTAAGTATTTTTTTTTTGCCTTTAGCGCCTCGCCTCTCTGCCCAAAGTCGCTTTACTTTAGTTTCTGGGCCGCACCAGCGTTTGCTATTTGTGTGATTGGGTGACTCGACGATGATGGAGCAGCGCCTTGTGGCTGCTAATGGCTGCAAATGACACTTCCGTTCCAAATCGCTTACAATTATTTGTTTGTTGATATATTTTTGCTATACTTTAGTGTTGTTGGTTCTTTCACAGCCACTGCATATATGTAGGCTGCACACGTTAATGGGTCGAACCGCAACCAAGTCATCAGCACACACACACACACACACAGGCAGGCAGCCAGGCAGGCACGCAAATCACATTCACTAAAGTTTTTCCACAATTTTCTTTTGCTAAATTTTTGGGTTTTCACATTTTTTCCCATTTCGTTTGGCACACGGTCGCTGCCGCTCGCTGTCCAGACTCACTTCCTCTACTTGTTTTCCGGCGAAATGTCAGATTTTCACAAAGCTGCTCAATAATAATTACAACGACAGCACTAACCTACAGCAACACGCAACGCAAGTGTGACGCAACGCATACAGCAGCAAACACCAATAGGCGCGGCAACAACAACAACTGTGATTTAGTCAATTGTAACTTGTAAACCACACACTTTGCACTAAAGTTTTTTTTGCATTGTAAACAAACAACAAATGACAGCTGTTCTGCTGCGCTCTCAAATATCATTCGCTATGCTCTCATCTAACCGCAAATGAATGCAACTTTTGACATTTCAACTGACAGTTTGCACTAGCAATTGTTTCAGCGGGCACTAGGCGAGCGAGCGCGCACGAGTTTGCGCCTTGCCTCGAGTTACGTCGATGTTCTGGTAAAAATCGATAAAAAGCGTCAGCGCTGTGCCATGCTTGACATATGACTGGCCGGTTGTTGGAGGTGGTCGCCCGACGGCTGAGCGTTGCTGGTGTCCGCGATGTTGGGCGTGTGTGGGTCGAGCACGACCATCACAAAATGAATAGTCATCGCAGCGGACAACAGCAACAACAACAAAAAAGCAGTAGCAAATTAAACGATAACAATAAGCATAACAAATGTAAAAAAGGCACACACAAAATAAAATAATAACCATACTCTAATGATAGCGAGTAACGAGCAATTGTCGCATATGACTATCGTTAGCGCGACAATTGAGAATTCAAATGCGATTAAGCGCTACAATGCACGTGTGTGTGTAAATGTACATTAGAATGCCTCACACTCAAAATGAAAAAAAAACTGGGCGCTTTCCAAAGTGATTAACAAAATGTTTCGTCCATTTCTGGCTGCTACCAAAATACTTTGGGCTCAAACTCAATGCCATTGTAATGGCCGAACCGTGTAAAAAATACTCAATAATAGGTGGTCTAGACAGACAGAAAAATGTACACTTTCGAGAGCTAGATTGTCTTGGGGCAACACCCACGCGAAGAAGAGACATTAGAGGCCACAGGGCGATGTTCTTTTTATCCTTTATATATCTCTCTTGCGTCTACCAACCTCTACTCTCTACCTCTTAACCATCTTACCAGTCTCTGAGAGTGTTTGCGATGCGATGGCAACATTACACATATTGTTACGTTTTATTATGGAAATCTCGCCGATTTCCTAAATCCTTCAGGTTCGTACACTGGATGGTTAAATAGAAAGCGTTCACATTAGCGTAGAACTAACTTTATTGTACAACAAACAATACTTCCTTATTCGCAGCTAACTCACTTGTAGCTTTCTGGTTTACAGCTGAACTCACAGTGTCCTGTTGCAACGCCTTTATATGTATACCCACGTCACAATGCGCTCGTATTCATAGCAGTTCTTGAACGTTCTAATCGGAAGTTTCCTTTACCGAATATTCTGTCCTTCTCTACTGGAAACATCTATCATTTATCGGCGAACCCAACCACCTCTTAAAAGCCAGCTGAATCCAACTCAACTAATATCCCTCTCCCTTTGGTCCGACCCTGTTTAAATTGCGTGTCCTAGGCCTACCATTAGTTGAGTTTGACGATAACGATTGAAGGATGAACCAAAATAGCCGGGGCATATTATTTTCTCTTTTGCTTCGGCCTGCCATTCGTGTTTCGCAGTATTCGCCATAATATGTTAATATGTATGTAGTTAGTTTGGCATGCCTCCCGGCCACTGCTTCAATAAAAACGTGCACAACCGCGGATAAGGAGCAAATTCTAGGATGGATTCCCTTCCCACTCTATCTAGTTCACGAAAGTCTGCAATTTACTTGAGACTTCTAGTTGGGACAAATGTATATAATTGTTAATAATTACAAAACCACTACCTTGAGTGGACAATATTGTTCGTTCAATAAAATCATTGTTGAGCAAATATAAACAATGCTTTGGCTGATACAAGTTTTCAATTAATTTTGTGAACTTGCTGTAGACTTGAATCAGCTAACCGTTTATTATTGGGAAAAAATTTTCAGTTTGACACAAATAAAAATTTACTCGATGGTTGTTGTGTTTACTTTCTTCTTTTATTTGCATATATTAAGCATAAAAACTACATATATATTTACATAAATAGCTACTAGTGTAAATAATACATATGTATATGGTGGTAAGAATTTCCTAAAAAGAAACGATGAAACAGGAACAGTCGTGCGAAAACTCAGGTCAATATCTGCTGAAAGTGCTGGTTTAAGTACTTGCAGACTTAAGAAACCATTTCAAGTGCCACTTTTACTATTTATTAGGGAAGCCAACTATATCTTGGACATATAGTGGTAATGACTCTCTATAGGGATACAAAAGACACACACACACTTAAATCCTGAATTGATTCCGTAAAAAAGATCCATGAAATATTCTAAAAAATCACTTTAGAAGATACATAGAATAATTTAAAACGCCGGCATAAAAATATTTAAAATTTTTTCAACGGAATCAAGATAAATAATCAGATTTTTTGAGGTATTTTCAACTCTGCCTAACTCACGTAAATCTTACTGGTTTTACGAAATATCTTGGCGTAATTATTTTTGGTGATGCACCTTAATGTATTTTTTTGGTACTTTTCGGTTATTGCGACTTTTCTGGATTTTTGCGAACTGTCGTAATAGATTGATGTATGAATATGAAATCAGTTGCCTATTTGTATTAAACAAGTTTTTATTTTGAACATAGTTTCTTTAAAACTTTGGCGAAAATGTACATTGGCATTTGACATTGATCTCTTTTCGAACGATATTTAGTAAAAAAAGGATTTTCTGCTATAAGTTTGCTTTGATGAAATAATCGAATTTGACGCTTTTAATTATTCTTACTCCCGTGTTTAGACGTAAACGTATAAAGAGCACGAATGAATTCCATTTCAACCAAAATATTTTCATGGAAGTCGTGGAACATTTTAGGGAAGCTAAAATGACACGAAAGGGTGTGCAGACACTTAAATTTATATGTATGTTTAATGTTCGTCTACGCTCTAAAAAGTGCATGTAAAACTACTACTGAAAAGTGTTTATTTTTCAACCAGAACCTGTGTAAATATATGCACAAGATGTTCAAGGTTTCATTTTGAACAAGAGATGTTTAAAAAATACACATAAATATACACATGAAATGTTTAAAATTGTAATAAATTTTAAAGTAAAAATATTTTTTTACTAATAATAAACATTAAGTACTAAATTTTAAACAATTTGTGTGTAATTTTTCTCTACGTGACACATTTTATATGTAAAAGTGAATATACAGTGTTTAATTTTGCACACATTAGTAGAGGAAATTTAAACAAAAATTTTTTCGAGCAAATTTTAAAAATTTTATGTGTAAACTGTGAAATTGTGAACAATAAATATTTAGAACTCAACAAACAAATTTAAAATTTGTTCTACTCCACACATATGATAATTAAAAGTAAAAAAGTAGTGTTTAATTTAATGAACACGGTGTGTAAATTTGCATTCATTAAGAGAGGAAACTGGTTACCTATCCTAATATGCGCAAATTTAAAGAAACATTTTTTAGAGTGTAGATTATTAGATGATTTCCCCAGATATTAACATTTTCAATTTGAATTGTATAGGCAAGAGAAATCCAACTTTAACAGGGAAAACATTTTAATAATCGTGCATAATTTAAGAAAATGTTCCGTTTGTTTGGTTAATCAGCAGTGGCGCAACCTAATGATATCTATATGTATTAACATACATATATGTATGCCCGAAATACGTACATAAATACATATGTACATTCAAATGTAAAATACATCCATACGTGCATATAATATAAAAATGTACGATATCTCCGTACCTATTTACATACAATCATTTACAAACTCGGGTATATACATACATTAGGGTGGTACAAAATAAGTAAAGTCGGAATTTTTATGCTCTCACCACCGAAGATTGTTCTATATCGAAAAAAATATATCCCTATTTTTCTGTTTTGCAGTCAAAAAATATTTAGAGGTCGCTAAAAGCGCCCAAAATTTTCCATGTATTTTATATGGGAGAAAACAACTTTTCATAGAAATGTTATAGATTTCTTGAAAATCGATATTTTTCGATCAAAAACTTTTCTTATTTTCTTCAGGAGACTTCCAATAACAATACGCAATTGTTTATTTAACCATTTTTTAATACCAAAGATTTTTTATTTATCGCCTTATTACATTTGCTGGCATTTTCTGGTGGTTTTGGTGGACCTATAAGATATAGTTGCTATGAAAAAATGATTAAATAAATTATTGGGTGTTATTATTGGGAATCTTCTGAAGAGAAACAGAGTTTTCCGGAAAAACTGGAAAAAATATTGCTTGCAAAAGTTGTTTTTTTCCCATATAAAATAGTACATGGAGAACTTTGAGCGCTTTAAGCGACCTCTAAATATTTCTTCATTTCAAAATAAAAAATTAGGGAAACATTTTTTTCGGTATAAAACAATCTTAGGTGGTGAGAGCATATAAATTCCGACTCTACTTTTTCACATGCATTTTTGAACCACCCTAATATATGTAAATACATTCATGTATAACTACATTATACATACAAATGTACACATTAATGCAGCATATTACTTTTATTTTTGTTCCTGACAAAGCGATTAGCACCCAGCCGGCTAATTGTGTGCTACGCCAACGTCATTGGCGCGTCGATTGCTTGCTGCCCATCATCATCGTTCATTTTGGATTGTGGTGTCATCTTCAGCGTCTCTTTATTGTTATTGTTGCTATTAGTTTTGCACTTTATAGTCAAAATGAAATTAAGCGAAGGCGTATGAGTTTTGTTTTTTTTTTTAATAATATTTATAATTAAGAAACTGACCATTTAAGTTTTTTTCTGATAAAAATTGTTTCACATTTGTTTCGGAAAATAGTGTTCGTCGTTAGACAGTTCTTCTCTTAAGGTATTCTTTTCAGGTTCTTTTTACTAAGTGTCTGGACCTCGATATTAAAAGATGTTATGGTATCGTTCGTTTTTTCAGGTTTAATCTCAGATATACATATACATATATGTATGATACATACGTATTTATATCTTGAAACCCAAAAAAAAAAAAATTGTAATGGCTTGCTAAGGTTCAGCGATGT